TGAGCCTGCTTGGTCGGGTATTCTGTGTTGTTGTTGGCGGAGCTCTTTGCTACACGTTCACCTGATCCACCATCTTGTTTGTTCTCCTCAATCCATCTTGAAGTGTGATTTCTTCTGTAATTCTCCATAAAAACAGGAGAACAAGTCAGAGAAAATAATTTTTTTATGTCTATGAGTTCTGTGATGCCACATGTACTTTACTTTTAGTTTTCAATCTGCCATTTATTTTCTTAGCAAAGGTGCAATCAAATATATATAACTGAATATTTAGTAATGATAAATTAAGAAAAACTTGGCTCTAATATGTAGCATAAATACAATATCACACTGTACAAAAACACATAAAAACAGTAGAAGAGAAAATAGGTAACTGGGACCTCCTTACATTTAGACACTTATCCGTATCAAAGGATTCTGCCAAAAAGGGAACCCAAAGACTGGTGAAATGATTTTATGATGACATATCAGAAAAGGGACTATTCTGTAAAATTAATAGAAAACTGCAACACCTCTACAAGATAAAGAGAAACAACACAACTTAAAAATGGATCATGACAAGCTATGTGCAACATTGGAGGAATGAGTATTCTGGAAGACTTAATTGTGCTCATGAGGAACCTGTACCTAGACCGAGAGGCAGTTGTTCCAGTAGAACAAGGGGACACTGAATGGCTTAAAATCAGGAAAGGTGTGCACCAAGTTGTATATTTTCAAGTTGAAAAACCAATATGAAGATGTTACAAGTTTGTTTGCTGAAAGCGAAGAGTACTTAAAATACTTACGGATGAAGATCAGAGACCACTGCCCTCGGTATGAGTTGCCACCTCAGTATAAAGAAAACAAAAATCCTTACCACTGAAGCAGTAAATCGCATCCTGATAAATTGAAAAAAGGTTAAAGTTGTCAAAGACCTTGTTTTGCTTGTATTCATCATCATCACTTATGCAAGCATCAGTCAGAAGTCAAATGGCAGTTTGCATTAAGTAAATCTGCTGCACAAAACCTCTTTAAAGAATTGAAGAGCAGAAGTCAGTTTGAGGAATAAGGTGTGCCTGACCCAAGCCACGGTGTTTTCAGTAGTGTCATATTTATGCGGAAATTGGGTGTTATTGTTGTTGTTAAGTACCGTGGAGTTGGTTCTGACTCGTAGTGACCCTGTACAGGGATTCCGAGGCTGTAAATCTTTACGGGAGCAGAAAACCTCATCTTTCTCCCATGGAAAGGCTGGTAGTTTCAAACTGCCGACCTTGAGATTAGCAGCCCAATTCATAACCACTATGCTACCAGAGCTCCTTGCGGAAGTTGGATAGTGAATAAGAAACACTTATTCATTGATGAACTTGAGTTGCATTGTTGGAGGAGAATATTACAGGTGCCTTGGAACACCATAAGAAAAAACAACTCTAAGTTTTAAAAAATACAGCCAGAATTCTCCTTAATAGCCAAGATGGCCAGACTTCATCTCTCATGCTTCAGACATATTATTAGGATGGACAAGTCCCTGGGTAAGTACATCATGCTTGGTGAAGTGGAGGGTCAGTGAAAAAGAAAGAAGCCTTCAATAAGATGGATTGGTACAGTGGCAGCAGCAATGGCCTCAAGCGTAGCAATTGAGGATGCTGAGTTCCAGGTGGTATTCCATTCTGTTGTACAAAGGGTAGCTATGGGTCAGAATTGACTCAATTCTGTTTCGACTCATAGCAAAGTGATGTAAGGTTTCCAAGGAGAGGCTGGAGGTTTGAACCACTGACTATGGTTAGCAGTCCAGTGTTTTTGTGTAGCATTACACGAGGACTCCATATATATTCTAGTGATGTAAAATTGTACATGTTGTGGTTGTGGCTATCAAGGGGGCTACATACAGGAGACTAATGTTGATTTTGAAAAATTCTGTATCTTGATATAGGTAGTAGCATGAATTTGCACAAGAAATCTTTACAGGGACTCCGGTATATCATTGTAAGATAAACCCTGTACTATGAACCACAAGGTTGCTGGTTCAGATCAACCAAATGCTCCTTGGAAACCCTTTACTGGGTCACTAAGAGAACCGACTTAATGGCACTTCACAACAATCCTTGGAAAGAACCTTAGAGAATGTTAAATACAAAATCCTTATGTTAGAAATGACAAAATAAAGACACGAGAAGAGACATATACAGGAGCCTGTCGTCTAGTCTACTTCATTTTGTGTGTGTAATACGTAATATTTTGATGTTATATTAACATGTTTATAGCAATACATTTATCCTTGAATATTATTTTTAAATGGTTTCTGAAAGCTTTTCTACTTTTTTCTCTTAAACTTTGCTTATGGACATTTAATTGTCTTCTGGACCATTGGATGTGTAAGCAGCTTTCTTTATTTCCTAGCTTGAACAGGAGCTGGAACTGTCTCGAAGGTTACTGAATCAGTCAGAAGGCAGCCGAGAAACACTTATGCATCAGGTAAGTCTACGGAAACTCTAAAATTAGGCCTTTACATTAAATCAAGATGGAATCTCCTTTAGTAAATGCCTTTATGTAAGAGAAAAAAAATAAGTATATCTAGAAAAATGTTTCCCTAATGAATGTACATTTGCATACATAAGCAAAAGGTGGAACTCTTTTTAAGGAGGATTCAGAGAAAACTATTAGAAAACTCAGATCTAAGTTCCCACTGTGACAATGTTTCTTGCCAGTTATTTCTCCAACTTCCTACTTATCTCTCTTAGCATGGGCAGCGTAGAAGTAAAATTTCCCCAGGAGCTTAATTTTATTCCAGGGGCACTGGAGTGGAGGAGGAATGAAAAATCCATATAACCAACTTTTCCATGGACAAGTTACTTTGAATGCATCGTTTTCCTATATTCATGTTTTCAAGATGCCACCTACCCCCATTTAACTAAAGATAAGGCTTAATTTTAAACATAACATTTTGCAGCCCATTAGTCCATAATAGGAGTTTGGTACTTCTGATATTTAAAGTTCAGTAATTTGAAATAGCCTTCTCATATGCACTTGATAAGGGCATGTGAGTCTGTAACTGCTTTTCTGCCTATGTATAATGTAAATTGCAAATGTACCTTCCTCTGTTTTGAGGTGTTTGTTACATAACTCATTACATAATATGTTTGCTAGGCAAAGGTGTCAGACCTCGTAGATGTTCAGGAGTATTACCATTGGACAGTTGGTGCTGGAAATAAAGTGTATCACCTGTTTTACAGAACATTTAAACTAAATGTCCACTGGCTTTTTTCTGTAGCTAGAGGTCACATGGAATTACTTTGGGCAGAGTTCAGGCTTCCCTTTATGGTGCTTATGGTTGTATTCAATTCTATTAGGTTTTTTTTTTTTAACTTTGATGCATATTCTCTAATTTCAGTATTCAGGTTGTCATTGTGACTTTAGCTGAATCTTTTTGCCACAGCTAACTTGGTAACATTGTGTATCATGATAAATGGGGAAAAAATGGAAGTTGTTATGCATTTAAAATACTTGCTGATAAAGATGGAAGACTGCAACTTTCAGTATAGGTTGCACCTCAATATAAAGAAAACAAAAATCCTGGAAACTGGACCAATAAACAGCATCGTGATAAATGGAGAAAAGATTGAAGTTGTCAAAGACTTCATTTTTCTTGGATCCACTATCAAGGAGACAGCAGTCAAGGAATCAAATGACCTCATGTACTAGGCAAATCTGCTACACAGGACTCTTTAAAGTGTTGTTTTTATTAAGTGCCATCTAGTCGATTCCGACCCTTAGCGACCCTGTATAGGGTTTCCGAGGAGTAGCTGGTGAGCTTGAACTTGAGCATGCAGTTCCAGTGGCTTTGCAGTCTGGTGCATTAACCCAGAGGACCACACCAGGACTCCCTTTAAAGTGTAGAGAACAAATATATCATTTTAAGGATTAACCCTGATCACAGTCTTGATATTTTCAGTAACTTCATATGCATGTGAAAGTTGGGCAATGAATAAGGAAGACTATAGAAGAGTTGATGCATTTAAATTATGATGTTAGAGAAGAATGTTGAATGACCCATGGACTGCCTTAAAAACAAACAAATCTGTGTTGAAACAAGTACAGCCAGAATCCTCCTTAGAAGTGAGGGTGGTGAGAGTTTGTCTGATATACTTTGGACATGTTATCATGAGGAACCTATTCCTGGAGAAGGATTTCATGCTTGGTGAAGTGGAGGGTGACCGAAAAAGAGGAAGACCTCCACTGAGATAGATTGAATCAGTCGCAAAATCAATGTCCTCACATGCAAAACTGTAACAGTGGCTCAGAATCAGGCAGTGTTTTGTTCTGATGTTTATAAGGTTCTTATGAGTCAGAACCAACTTGATGGTACCTAACAACAATGACCAGAAGTTGAAACAACTGTCTTGGAAGAAGTGTGGCTAGATGAACCTATGGAATGAGGATGGCTACATTTTATCACATAATTTGGATATGTTGTCAGGAATGCCCAGTTTGTGGAAAAGGACATTATGCTTGGTAAAGTGGAGGGTTAGTGGAAATGAGGAAAACCCTCAACTTAATGGATTAACACAGTAGCCTCAAGCATTGCAGTTGTCGGGAAAGCACAGCACTGACCAGTCAGCATTTCCTTCTTTTTTTGCATAGTGTTGCTGTAAGTGGGAATTGACTCAAAGGCACCCAACAACCACAACAAGTTTGTTTATCAATCATTAGGGAATTACTGACTACATGCTAGGCGATAAGCTCATCTCTGTTGTTAATGGTGTTAAATGCCATCGAGTCGGTTCAGTCGGTTCCAACCCATAGCAACCCTCTAGAGGGTTTCTAAGGAGCGACTGGTGAGCTTGAACCACCAACCTTGCAGTTCAAACTGACTTTGCAGTCTAGCGCATTAACCCATAGCGCCACACCAGGACTCCATCTCTAGGAATACTAAAATGAATACACAGTTCCCTACCTCAAGGAGCTCTTAATTTTCAACAGCATTAACTACTTATTTATTTTGTAAATAACTTTGATACCAGAAAAAAATCCATATCATGATCCTTTTACTTCAGTTTACCAACTATAGGCAGTCTCTGACTTATGGTAGGATTCCATTTCCACTTCTCCATTGTAAGTCAGTCTAGACATAAGTTGAATACTTATGTTTGTTTTTATTTTTTTATTATTGCATTTTATTGTCATTATCTTTATAAATCCAATTTCTGCACCTCAAGTGAATATCTGGTTATGATACCTGTGATGCTCTTCTAGTCATCATCACTGGAACTCTTACCAAATGAGTGGATGGTACCTTGCAGATTGTATGCATTTCCTCTTTTTATGATGAGTCTAGTAAGCGAATGAGGGCAAGATGCTGATAGGATTATATGATTCCGTTTTCTGTGACTGTTAAAAAGGATTAATTGTGATTGTAATAACTTGGAACTGAAATGTGGTTATTGATCAGTTGTGCCATCTTGTGGATATAGAATGAACCATTTCAGAAGCAGGAACAGAGAAGCATTTCACTACCATCAAGAAAGAAGAACCAGGACTGAGCCCCAAGGTCCCTGTGCCCTAAGTTTCCTCAATCCAGGAAACACAGCTGTGACACTGGAGAAGTGGTAGAGAAACTTTGGCAGCAGACATTACAGCACAAAGAGCATGAGACACAGCTGCAGTCTTGCTGGCCCAGTGAGACAGCTGAGTGCCTTTGGTCTGGAGGCTTGCTTATCCACTGGGTTGCCTTCAGGGACCTAATCAGGGCAGCTAGGTTTGCTGACCCACAGACTTGGACCTGAGTCCTTCAGGCTGAGGCTTATGGTGGAGGGGAGTGGAGTGCCCTTTGGGCATTCATCATCAAGACTAAAAGGGCTTAGTAGCCAGGGCAGAGGCTGCGGGCCAGCCTGTTGGCATGACTGAGAAGAGGTACTCCTAACCAGAAGAACTGTATCCTGAATATTTCTGATCCTGAATTTGTATTCTGTTAACTCCCCTAATAATTTCCATAATTGTGAATATTGTCTGAGTTCTGTGTGACCACTACAAGAAATTATCAAACCTAGCAGAGAGGTAGAGAGTGCTGTGCGAAGAATGATTGGTGTCTGAAATGGTAAAGAAGGTTGGAGGGTAAGACATGTCTGACCTCAGCATCCTGGGACTTCAGCCTTGGGTTGATGAGTTTGATTCTTCTTTCCCCTGGTGAAGTCAGAAGAGGTCAGCCATTGCTGCATCTATGCCATTTGTATAATACCATCAGCAAATTACATGCTTTTGAAGAAGGATAACAGTTTCCTTTTTGGCATTTTGTATTTAGATAGAAGAACTGCGTACACAACTGATAAAAGCAGAAGGTGATCGAAAAGGTTTACAACATCAAGTATCTCAGATTTCCCAGCAACAGTCAAACCCTCAGGATGAACAAGTAGATGACCGAAGGTTTAGGAGAGGTAAAATTCTGATTTGTAAATTTGGAGGTTTTTTTTTGTTTTTAGAAAATGAAGTCCTTGGAGGTAAACATTGTTAATATGTTTGGGTTACTAACCAAAAGGTGATCAGTTTGAGTCCTCAGAAGGAAAGTGTGGTGATTTTAATCTGAAAAGTCAGCCATTAAAAACCCTATGGAGCACAGTTCTACTCTGACACATGTAGAGTCACCCTGAGCTAGATGGAATTAACCTGATTGCAACTGGCCTTGTAGTGCCTTTATTCGGTGTTGCGGTTGACTTCTGGTGTAGTGCTGTAGGATAAGCACAGGATGGTTCACACTCACCAGTCACTCCTTGGAAACCCTATACTGGGTCTCTATGAGCCAGAACCGACTTGACAGCACTTAACAGCAACAGTGTCATCATATGTTTCTGGATCTACAGTATGATTTTCCAACAGGTGAAACAATCTAGCATTCACTCTTGATAACTTCTTTGCCTGACTTCTAAAGCCATTTCAGATGTCAAACCTGTTTGTCTCATTGGACCTTTCCTTAGAAAGAACCCCCTAATTCAATAGTGCATTTTTTCCCCCAGCTTCCAACTCATATCTATAACTACATGTGTGTGTTGCTGTGTGTGTGTTTGTCCTTGTACTTTAGTCATAAGTACGTCTGGTTTTTCTCCCTTTGTTTTATTCTCATTTTCAATATATATGAGCAATCATAATTAAGAACCTGTGTGTTTTGTTATCTGGAGATTGTTTTTGTTGTGTGTTGTTGAGTCAGTTCTGACTCAGTGATCCTGTATAGAGTTTCCAAGAATAGTTGGTGACTTTAAATTGCTAGCCTTGCAGTTAGCAGTCCAGTGCCTATCCTACAGTGCCACACTAGGGCTCTTCTGGAGATTGTTGTTGTTGTGTAGTGCAGTTGAGTTGGTTCCGACTCATAGCAACCCTATATAGGTTTTCCTACTGCCGACCTTGCATTTCAAACCAACTTTACAGTCTGGCGCATTAATCCACAAAGCCACACCAGAACTCTTGGAGATTAGTGGCAAAAATTGATCACCTCCTAGATGTGGGCATGAATTTTTGTTGTTGTTGTTAAAGTTTTTATTTTGAATTATATGATAGTTTACATGGGAGAACTGTAGCTTTACATTCATCCTATCTTATTTCACTTCATTACAATGATTGCAATTCCCTGCATGCATCATCAAACAGCCAAAAGATACACCCCACAAGCCTGCCCCCTGGCTGTCAACACACAGCTCCTCTCCCTCCAAGAGTCCAGAATCTCCAGTTGTTCCATCTCTCCATGTCATCGTCTCTACCTCCATCTCTGGCGGTCTTGAATTTTTGAACAGTTTGGCTTGCTTTTTCTTATATGGGAACGCTTTTTGTTTGCAAATGTTAGACCACCTGCTCTGTATGTACTTTTTTGAAGTTCAGATTTATTATGGTGTCTAATATGCTAGCTCAGATTGCTCAATTTGAAAAATTATTTGAATAATGAGGTTTCTTACTCACATGTCCAAATTATTGGTGAAACTGTTGGAAGCAATTTTATGTACCGTTACCTTTGTTTAACCTAGAATTTCCGTATTACCAGAAAATCTTTGTTGCTGTTAAGTGCCACTAAGTCAATTGCAACTCATAGCAACCCTATGCACAGCAGAACGAAACACTGCCCAATCCTGCACTGGCAATGTTCCACTGCTACTTACAAGGTTCTTAGTGGCTAACCATTAAGAAATAGTCTGCCTCTTCTTCTTTCTAGTCTGCCTTAGTCTGGAAGTCTTGCTAAAACCTGTCTGTCCACGATGCGTGACCCTGCTTGTATTTAAAGCTACACTGGTGGCATAGCTTCTAGCACCACAGCATGCAAGCCTCCGTAGTACAACAAAGTGACAGACAAACGGTGGAGGAAATCTGTAATAGGTGGCTAATTCTGACATCGTTATCCTAATATATTTATATTCCATTAAAGTCACTTAACTTTCATATTGGAATTAAATATCATATGATTAATATAGTTCTCATATATTTTTGAAAAATAAAATCTTAAACTTTTAGATTATTCTTCCAATTTCCAACAAGATGTTCATGAGAACTCTCATTTTGTTTGAAAAAGACATCAGTGACACATTTCTTACATGTTTTGATGTCTCACAAAATCTAATTATTTTGATATAAACTTTTGAAGACTAGAAGAATCTCACTTTTCTTTACAACTGATCGAGCTTTAAACAAGTGTCTTTGAAAGTTCTTTTTCAGTGTGCTAATGGACTTCTTCACCTTCTTTTTTCAACAGTTCTAAATTGTTTTCATGTTTACAGAATACTTGTATTATTTAAGAACAATCCTACATAAGAAATCACATTCATTGTCACATTCCAGATGCTGTTTATTTCCTTTGCCAACTGAAAAATGGCTTCCATGATTGCTTCTGAACTCAGCCAAACTCAACCGAATTTTTCCATTATTTATCTTAATGATCCCTGGTTATTTCCTCTTTTTTCTTGAAAGACTTCCTTTGACTTCAGTGCTGCCACTCTTTCATGATCCCTGTGCTGTAGTTGTTTTCATTCTTGTTATTGGCATTTTTTCTCTGTGCTCACAGTTTGTCCTTGAAATGCTGGTGTTGCCTGGTATCCTCTTCATGCATCTTCTCTTAGTACTTCTCGTAGGGCTTGCTATTTAATCTTATGTTCACAGTATTCTCTCTCTCTCTCTCTCTACTCAACTGTGAACTGTCAGATGCTGCAGCTTAGTAGACTTCTACATAGGTGGTCCCACATACTGCTCATTCATCCCTCTAAAAGATGAACTCATCTTCCCTTCAAAACCTGCTTTTCATTCGTGTTTCAGCTGATGGTATCATCCTCCATCCAGATACCAAAAACAGAACAACATGATGAACATCTAAAATTTGTCCTTCTTCTTTCCACCTAATTAGTCCCTGTATCCTGCCTATTTATAGATGCTGATATTATGTGATTTTGTATCATTCTCTTTCTTCTTATTTCTACTTCTCAGTTTGGTGTGCTTCAGCTCACCTGTACATTCGTTTTAACGTGCTTTGCACTGCGTATTCTGGCTCCTCTATATTCTATCTGCCATACTGCTTCAAAAGGGTACTTTTCTAAAACACAAAGTGACCATGTTATTCTCTTGGTTAAAACCTCTCATTATAGTTTATTGAGTTCTTACTACTTACCAGGCATTATGTTAATCCTTTTCCATTATCTCCTTTAATTCTTATAACTACTCTAGGAGAAGGGTACTGTTCTTATTCCATTTTAATGATTTTTTAAAAAAGCTAATGAGCAAAGAAATTGAATAACTCACCCAAGATCATGCATGTGAGAAGTAGCAAACTCAGATCTTTTTCTTGCCAAAGTTTGAACTTTTAGTAACTGCTGTCCTATATTGACACATCATTGTCTATAGCTAGTATTTTCCAAAATGGAGTATAGGAGACATTCTTCTGGTGTGGAAGAAAATTTCTCATGGTATTTATATTTTAAGTTTTAAACGCTTCAATTTTGGTACCTGCTTCATCATATACGATAGAGTATATGTCTATATAGACATATACAATGCTCCTGAGAAATGATAATTATCAGACTTCAGCTCACTTGTTTTGTAAACATTACCAGAAAAAAACAATTGCTTTAAGAGAACATCACGATTGATAAAATAAGGTCAGCAAAAGGGGTGATAGACTGTTCTGGTAATGGAAACAATGACCCCAGTATACCAGTGCTTATCAAGATGGCATAGGATTAGACAGTGTTTTGTTCTGTTAAACAAAGAGTTGTTATGAGTCAGAATCAACTTGATGGCACATGTATACATATGCGTATGTATCTCTCCGTGCATTTGTATGTGTATATATGGAAAAACAAGGAGCTCTGGTAGCATAGTGGTTAGAATCGGGCTGCTAACCTCAGGGTCAGCAGTTTGAAACTACCAGCTGTTCCATGGGAGAAAGATGAGGCTTTCTGCACCCATAGAGATTTACAGCCTTGGAAACCCTGTACAGGGTCTCTATGAGTTGGAACCAACTCCACGGCACTTAACAACAACAACAACATATGAAAAAACATAATTAAAAGATAATGGAGGACTTAATCTTTGGGAGTGGGGGAAAGCAGAGACAGACAGTGAAAACTCCTCTGCCAAAACCCAAGAAAAAGCAGAGGAAGAGCAGTCTGCAGAAAAAGTGCGGAGCTTTGGGTCTTGTTCAAGGTTCTGGGTGCCAGTTTCCCGCGCTCATTGAAAAGAAATTTGCCTGTAGAAGCCAAACACGGTGACTTCTGAATTGATCCAGCCATGGAGGCCAGCAGTCAGAAGTCCACAGGCTGGAGGGAGAAGCCACAGCCCAGAGGAGGCAGGGATCAAGTGCTAGAAGCTGCAGAGTGGCATGTCTGAAGGGAGACGTGTGATCAATTTTTCATCTTTCACTTTTCATTTTTCACATACCTCTCCTCTTTACCCCAACCGTGCCCTCACTGCTCAACCCAGACGCCTTCAGGTGAGCAGGAGCACACCCCCAAAAGGGTCCAGCATTGCACCCACAGTTTTCCAACGGCACAGAGAGGAAACCCACAGGCTGCTTCTTGTAACTTTTTGACCCTGTGAACCTGCCCCATAGTTTTCCTAGGCCGGACTCTTTGCACAGCAAAGGCCAGTGAACAGTGTCAGTCACAATTTTATTTTTGTTTTTGATTGGTGGTTTCTGTCTCTGCTTTTATATTGTTTTTGTCTTTGGTCCTTTTGGCCTCACTCTTCTCCAGGGGTTGGAACTTTCTTCCCCTACCTTACCCCAGAAGAGACAGTAACTGTGCCCAGATAGCCAAGCGACAAGCGTACCTGTAATACCCCACTATCTGGACAAGAGCCAAAACAAGCTGCTCGACATAACATGTGAAAATGGGAGCTTATCTGCAGATCATACACCCCAGGAGATGCTCAGCAAGGTTAACAACAAAGCAACATACATCTGTTTAAGCTT